ACAGACAAATACTCTAAATGTATCACAGACAAATACTCTAAATGTATCACAGACAACTACTCTAAATGTATCACAAACAAATACTCTAAATGTATCACAGACAAATACCGGAGCACCCGGAGAAAAATCCACGCGACCATGGGAAGAGAGAGAGAGAACCCACGACCTCCTGTATACCAGGCGAGGTAGTTAACATCTCCTAGCCACCGTGATGTGATGAGAGAGAGACGCGCAAACTCCAAAACTCCAGCAGGCGTCAGGGTCGGGATCAAACCCACGACCTCCTGCATACCAGGCGAGGGAGTTGATATCTCGCCACGGTTTAACCCACAAATACGAAAAGAGGAATCATCACAGCCGATGATGATGGCACCACTCGACTGCTCCCTGGCACGGTCGTCTGGATCAGGGATCGAGAACCAAAACAACAAAAAGAGAAAACATTTTGTGTTCGAATTCGGTAACAAAAAAACAACAATATTTCAAGAGCCGTAATGCACCGTGGTGGTGGTGGTGTTGGCTACGAGACGGCGGCGGTCCTTAACAAATAACGGGCACCACGATTAAACGACCATACTTCACCACCCGTGTCAATGCGGTTTGGTGTAAGTAGCGGGGGAAGTGCAGAACGTTGGGTGTTGCTGCACTGCCCCCTACTGCACAGCCTCGCCCACTGCACCGGTCTGGTCGCGAGCGCTGCGCGGAGCGGCCTGCGAGGCGCCCTGGGGGCACGGGGCGCAGTCCGGGCCGACGGCTGTCGCCGGGACAGCGGCTTGACGCCTTGCCGGGTGCACTCGGTGAAGAGTGGTGAGATGTTAACTACCTCGCCTGGTATACAGGAAGTCGCGGGTTCCATCGCGACCCTGACACCTGCTGTGTATTTGGAGTTTGCAGTGTCTCTCTAATCATCATCACAGTGGTGAGATGTTAACTACCTCGCCTGGTATACAGGAAGTCGCGTGTTCTATCCCGACTCTGACACCTGCTGTGTATTTGGAGTTTGTAGTGTCTCTAATCATCATCACAGTGGTGAGATGTTAACTACATCGCCTGGTATACAGGAAGTTGTGTGTTCTATCCCGACCCTGACACCTGCTGTATATTTGGAGTTTGCAGTGTCTCTCTCATCATCATCACAGTGGTGAGATGTTAACTACATCGCCTGGTATACAGGAAGTCGTGGGTTCCATCCCGACCCTGACACCTGCTGTGTATTTGGAGTTTGCAGTGTCTCTCTCATCATCATCACAGTGGTGAGATGTTAACTACCTCGCCTGGTATACAGGAAGTCGTGGGTTCCATCCCGACCCTGACACCTGCTGTGTATTTGGAGTTTGTAGTGTCTCTCTCATCATCACAGTGGTGAGATGTTAACTACCTCGCCTGGTATACAGGAAGTCGTGTGTTCTATCCCGAGACTGACACCTGCTGTGTATTTGGGGTTTGCAGTGTCTCTCTCTCATTATCACAGTGGTGAGATGTTAACTACATCGCCTGGTATACAGGAAGTCGTGGGTTCCATCCCGACCCTGACACCTGCTGTGTATTTGGGATTTGCAGTGTCTCTCTCTCATCATCACAGTGGTGAGATGTTAACTACCTCGCCTGGTATACAGGAAGTCGCGTGTTCTATCCCGACCCTGACACCTGCTGTGTATTTGGAGGTTGTAGTGTCTCTCTCATCATCACAGTGGTGAGATGTTAACTACCTCGCCTGGTATACAGGAAGTCGCGTGTTTTATCCCGACCCTGACACCTGCTGTGTATTTGGAGTTTGCAGTGTCTCTCTAATCATCATCACAGTGGTGAGATGTTAACTACATCGCCTGGTATACAGGAAGTCGCGTGTTCCATCCCGACCCTGACACATGCTGTATATTTGGAGTTTGCAGTGTCTCTCTAATCATCATCACAGTGGTGAGATGTTAACTACATCGCCTGGTATACAGGAAGTTGTGTGTTCTATCCCGACCCTGACACCTGCTGTGTATTTGGAGTTTGCAGTGTCTCTCTCATCATCATCACAGTGGTGAGATGTTAACTACCTCGCCTGGTATACAGGAAGTCGTGGGTTCCATCCCGACCCTGACACCTGCTGTGTATTTGGAGTTTGCAGTGTCTCTCTCATCATCATCACAGAGGTGAGATGTTAACTACCTCGCCTGGTTTACAGGAAGTCGTGGGTTCCATCCCGACCCTGACACCTGCTGTGTATTTGGAGTTTGTAGTGTCTCTCTAATCATCATCACAGTGGTGAGATGTTAACTATCTCGCCAGGTATACAGGAAGTCGCGTGTTCTATCCCGACCCTGACACTTGCTGTGTATTTGGGGTTTGCGTCTTTCTCCCCGTGGTCGCGTGGATTTTTCTCCGGGTCCTCTGTTTTTTTCCCCTCCACATTTAGAATCAACGTCACGCACTAAGAGTATTTGGCTGCGATAAATGTCCACACGACAAGCCACTTCGTTGAGCTATCATTTGTGATCGCCAAGTCGCTTCTGAAAAAGAGCTGTGTAGCTCAGTGGATCCTTACCTGGTGAAATAAAATAGTAGTAACAAAAATAGTTGTATCATTTACCGTGACCACTGAGAGGCACGTCGCTGAGCCGTGAGGCGCCCTGGGGGGCCGGGGGGCGACCTCACGTCACCCCCAAGTCCACCTCACGTCACCCCCCAAGTCCACCCTGGGCCATCAAACGTCTCGTCGATTGATTTTTGTAAAAATTACTACACCGGGAAACCACGTGCGCACCGCAACTTTAAGGTCGGTTTATTAAAATCCAAAAACACAAAAACAGTGGAAGCAGTTAAGCGCAGGATATTAAATGCCGTACATAGATATGAATATGAATGTAAAAAAAAGCCCAAAACGAATGTTCCTACCCATTGTGAGCGAGTGTGGAGGGAGTGTGGAGTGAGTGTGGAGTGAGTGTGGAGTGAGTTCGAGACCTCTGCAGAATCACACGACGCATTTCTTCATGTCCAAATCCCGATGTTACAATCCAATTTCTCTGGCTCGATTTCAGCTATTACTCCGAACATTATATTTGTCTATATAACGAATTCAAAGTGTTTAAAATATATTTCTGTACTCACACTAAAGTTATGCTGTCCATTTGGGCTTGTCAGTCCTTAAACGACACTTGGACAGTGCCGCATGACATGGGGGAGATGCACGCGTGAGGCCAGCCTCCAATCTCCGCCCGACCGAAATCCATACATGCCATATGAATGTGGAAATGTCAAAACTGCAAACAATAATTCGGAGCAATTCTGCGAATCACATCGCGAAACGTGACTCCCTTCAACCGAAAATTTAATTCCGCTGGTGCTTCGCGTGCCAATCCAGAACAACAGCAATAACAATAGCAGCAGCAGCACGCGTTCATCGCAGGAGCAATCTCGCCAGCTGATCTAGGGGTCTCCGCCGAGCGCCACTCTGGCCCCCAACACGCACGCGCGTGTCACAGCCCGGTTATTCAATTGAAGGTGGAGGGGTGAAGCAGCCCCTCGCACCCGTCCAGAGGCCCCTTCTGGCCGCTGTGGTGGCCACAAACGCCATGAGGGGGAATGGCCGCTCGAAATTGGCCCTCCCCGCCATGCAGTGGCGGATTAAGCTGGTGCGGGGCCTGTCGCATATGTTATTTTGTGTTTTGATATTTATTTCGGGAAATAAAAAAAAACGTAAATATTAAAACACGAAATTTTCACTTGCATAGTAAAGTTATTGTATTTTATCATTTGCTATACAGCCAGATAATACGACAAATCGCTAAACTTAAACACCCAGTCGTTCGTAAAAGTTGAAGGTGGTATAGTACTATAGTAATAGAGCAAGTGCAGAATCACTGAACCGGAATTGATAGCTTGAAAGCATTTAGCACGGGGCCCTTGAAAGTGCGGGGCCCGTAGCTACTACACATGTAGTAGTAGCTACTACATGTGTAGTAGTAGCTACTACTACACGTGTAGTAGTACTACACGTGTAGTAGTAGCTACTGCTACACGTGTAGTAGTAGTTACTACTACACGTGTAGTAGTAGTTACTACTACTACACGTGTAGTAGTAGCTACTACAACTACTACTTATGTAGTAGTTACTACTACACGTGTAGTAGTTACTACTTACATACACGTGTAGTAGCTACTACTACTACACGTGTAGTAGCTACTACTACATAAGTAGTAGCTACTACTACATATGTAAGTAGTAGCTACTACTACTACATATGTAGTAGTAGTAGTAGCTACATATGTAGTAGTAGTAGCTACTACTTATGTAGCTACATAAGTAGTAGCTACTACTACTACATATGTAGTAGTAGTAGCTACATATGTAGTAGTAGTAGCTACTACTTATGTAGCTGCTTGGATGATCCGGCACCTGCCCCCATGGCACTGCTCACCACAGCGCTACCGTTCGGACCTTAATGTGCACGTAGCCTGGCACAAGCGCCGTGGGGACGTCACCGCCACTTAGTGGCGAACGGCGGTTGTTGCTGTCGGGTTTTAAAAAACACAAAAGACTATGACGTACTCGTAACTTTAAATGCGTGTGTTAATGTATGCTCATAAAATATGCATACAATGTATAAGAGCCTTTTCCTAGATGACACATTGCTTTTATCAAACACATTTTGACGCGGAAGGGGGCTATATATGCGGAGTGAACTTTTTGTTAGAGAATCGTAAAATGAAAACGAGTGACTCGGAGCCTTTATGAATGTCACCGTATCCTCATTAATTGGGAAAATTGTGTATCTCTCCCAACCTACCCAGAAGATATGTAAGCTGCTATTGTCGGTGGACATATATATGAGCAGTTGCTTTTTTTAACCGCTCGTTATTTGAATTTAGATTCACATTCTAATTATGATATCACAAAGAAGCAGCGCAAGGAAACGTGAAAGTATGCAGCGTATATAATTGAGGCAGTATGGTAGTCTGTGAATGATGTGAACGTTTGTAAATGACCCATAAGCTCCCCTCGAATTTCCCCGCAGTAGTTAAATGCGAATATAAATGACAAACGTCAAAAGAAGCCGCTCTTAACTCAAATATAAACTCAACAAAACCGTTTATTTAGTTTTACGTGACAATGTTGAACATTCGGGTTAGGACCCAGATGTCCAGGGGCTGGCCAGGTTCGGCTGGAAGAAGATGGCAACGTCCACATGACTGGCGTCCCAGTGCGTCGCGTTGTGACCATGGGACCGGCTTGTGGCCTCCCTCCGGCGAGACTGTGGCGAGCATGCACGGCCCCATTCTGTCGATCTGGCTGGCGTGTTCCCCCTTATCTCTTGTTTCCTCTTGATGCGTGATGCTTTCTCGCAGCCACGGCCATGATTTTTGGTTGAGATCGCCGCTTAATAGTCTCGCCAAATCTCGCCTTGAGGCTTAACGGCGGGCCAAAACGATGTGAGCGTTTGTCACGCGTGAGAATGTAATTTGTTTGGCCGAGTTAATAACAATGCAATCCTCACGCTGCTTATTGTGACACTGTTAATATTGCAAACACGCAAGTGCGCATGCAAGCAGCGTGCTATTGGTGCTTTTGTTTGGCTACACTTTGCAACGCGCGAGCCATTTGCCACAAAGCCACGATAACAATGGCGAGGATGAAATGCAGGCGGATGACATTGCCCGAGAGAGCCCGTGATCGGTGATGGCCTCGCAGCACGGGGCCCTGTTTGCCTAACGTCCCCTTCTTGTATATGCGGGCCGCTTTAAGAGGGACGTGTGTATGTGTGTGTGTACTCGACGATCTCGCCAAATATTGCACGAGACTTAACGGCAAGCCATAACGATTTTAGTTGGTGCTTCGGTAAACGCTTGTCACACGCGACAATTTAATTTGTTTGGCTGTGTCGGGTGGTGGAGGGTTTCACGAGAATATTTGGCCAGATCGTTACGTGGGCCTAACCTTAAAATAAATTCTGAATTGCCTCTCGGTCCAGTGGCTTGTCAAGTTTAAAAAAGGATAGCTGAAATACACTCCTGATAATATAAAAAGAATGGGTCCCTAACTAAAGTAAAATTTGTATATTTTATTCAAGCAAATTCTCCACAAGTCTTTATCCCTGCAGCCAAAAGTCGCACTCACCATACGCCAAACTAATCCACGTGATATGGTCAATGTTAATCGTTTGCTCTAAAGTTACTCGTATATCACCGTTTCACTGCAATACATTTCATTTGTTGTAATGGGGACAGGATGGCGACTTTCTTAGCTCTACGCGACAACTGAGAATGTCACCACGCTAAAGAGTCTACACTCTACACTAATGAGTTCCCACTATCGGCGATATGGAAGTAGCAAATTATGAATGCTGCAGTGCAGGCCTGCTGATCCATTTGCTCGTGAAGAGATAATGACAATAACCTTGCTGCGTGGGTGCCCGCGGCGGTTGTGCTGCCCTACGGCTCTCCGATGTGCTTTCGGATCGTGCCGCCCGCCGTTGGCCACACGACGTCCGACGTTTCGCTCCCCACGCAGCTCCATGGAGAGGCTCGCGGATTGAGCAGCGCAAACGTCGGGAATCGTGCCGAACAACCCCCCCCCCCCACCGAAAGCGCTTTGGAGCGACGGTCAGCGCACTAAACGACGCGACGCAACAGGTGGCTTCACTGCTGTGGCCGACAGGGGTTGGAGGCTCGCCGCTGACGAGGTCACGGAGGTCAAAGAGGTCATGGAGGTCGCCGGGCCGCAGGGCCGCAGTTCTCTACTTGCGGTAGTTGCCAAGCTGCACGGCGACGCGGCTCGTCACGCAGCGGAAGGCGAGCGGCTGGATGTCCCAGTAGTTAACCGGGTTCCGGTACAGGCTGATGGCGCTGTACAGAGACTTCTTGGGACTGTGACCCTTTCCGCAGAAGTCGTCCGGCTCCACCACGGAGATCTTGTTCTCATGCAGGTACACGGCCTGGCGGGGTATAACACGGCAACGCTTTTACTTGACAGATGTGGAGGATTTCCACGGCCCTTTTTGCTATGATTCACGATCGAATTTTTGGGCGAGGCCACGTCAATTCCTGCAGAGGCGGTCATTGTACGAAGACCTCGGCCATGCTGCGAACAGTCACGGGAGTTGGTTGACCGCACTTCAGCACGTAGGTCAGCGCGTGCGTCTGCCGTGGGGACTCGGGACCACTTCAGGCATAACCGGCCACTGATGTTATCCGTCGCCGGAAATCGAACTCGGGTAACTCGCTGGGTTCACGGCGCGTGAGCCGGAAAGCCACTGCTGCCACCCCCGGGCGATGAAAAGTCAAGTAATCTCCATTGTTTTGTTGCTGATGACCACACGCAGGGAATGTGTACAAACATCGCACAACCTCTTTCACACTGTGCTGTGGCCAACTGTGCTAACCGGAGGTGGCGGTGGGTTCTTTCGATGGGTTCTCACCCGGTTTGGCCATGAAAGGCAGCGGGTTCATTCATCCCCTGACGCGCCCACACAGTCATCGCGGAGGGCATGCAGGGGCGCAAACTCGGCCCAGATCATTTACGCGGTAAACAAACACCCCCCCCCCCCCACCAAATATCGCTTGATGGGTCACGAATAAACAGTGCGAACGTTCACAGAAACAAGGATGAGCAGCGGTGCCCGCGAGTGGCGAGACGCAGCCCTTGGTACGGGGCCTGGGTCACGTACCCAGCACCACCAACACCACCTCCTCCTGCTGCAGGGTGAGCGGCTAGGTGAGCGGCTGGGTGAGGGTGAGCGACAGGGTGAGAGTGAGCTGCAGGGTGAGGGTGAGCGGCTGTGTGAGGGTGAGCGACAGGGTGAGCGACAGGGTGAGCGACAGGGTGAGCGGCTGAGTGAGGGTCACCCTACCATGATGAACTTGAGATCGGCCAGGCCCGGCGGCACACGGGTCAGCTGATTTGAATCCAGGTGCAGTTCAAGGAGGCCGCTGACGTGGGTTAGACTCCCCTCCTTGACGGAACTTATCTTGTTGTGGCTGAGACCGAGCCTGTGGAAGGGGGCACACAACGCTGATGAGCGCCTGACGGTCCTGGAACAAGTCGCGGATTCTGCCATGAGCCAGCTGCTGGCGAATTTGAGTGAAGGGTTGAAACGTTTAGATGGAGACCCCTGCTACAGGGGGACTGTATGGACGTACCTCACCAAGCGGCCAGCAACAAACAGCGCCGTCACAGCAGTGACTCGTGAGAATTGATGCGTTTCTTGAATTGGTGATACCGGTGATTGGTGTACAGGAGGCGTCACCTGGTGAGGTGGTCCAGGCCCTTGAGGTCGCTGTCCCCGATGTCGGTGATCTTGTTGCCGTCCAAGTGGAGCTCGTTGAGGGAGGCCGGTAGCCCTGGGGATGACAGCACGGCACGGCGACACGGCACGGTGACACGGCACGGCACGGCACGGTGACACGGCACGGCGACACGGGAAGGTGACACGGCACGGTGACACGGCACGGCGACACGGGAAGGTGACACGGCACGGTGACACGGCACGGCACGACACGGTGACACGGGAAGGTGACACGGCACGGTGACACGACACGGTGACACGGCACGGTGACACGACACGGCGACACGGCACGGCGACACGGCACGGCGACACGGGAAGGTGACACGGCACGGCACGGCGACACGGCACGGTGACATGGCACGGCGACACGGCACGGTGACATGGCACGGTGACACGGCACGGGAAGGTGACACGGCGCTCAGTCACTGCTCACCCGCCACTCCCCCATCATCACAATCGACAGGTGGCGGCCCCTTCTATCGCGTTCGCCGGCATTGCATCGGGGGGCCGTGGGCGCGTTCGGGGCGTGCACTCTACCCGACGTCGAGGACGCGTCGCGCCGACGGAGTTTTCCGCCGGCGCGCCGAGGGGTCTGCACGCACCTTTGGGGATGGCGCTGAGCTCGCTCTCAGACAGACGGATGTAGGTGAGGCGATCCAATCCCTTGAAGGAGCCGACGTCGATTCCGCTGTTCTGCAGAGGATTGTTTCCCATCTCTGCACGATTGGCGAGAAATAATGATGTTGTAATAATCACAGGATGTTCAGTTTAGTATTTGCCTAAACAGTGAATGAAGTCATACTTTATGACCATTGTGAACACACTCAAACAAACATTGCTTTTATCACAATCAATCGATCACAATTCCAAATCATCTGTTTGGGACGAGCCCAAATATTGATACATCAGCAGACCAACTGGGGAGAAAGGGTCCGGACAAAGTCTGACAAAAAACATCATCATGATGGTATAGGGTCGCTAATGTCATGGAGACGCTCGTGTCACGGGGTCACTAGGGTCACGGGGTCACTAACATCATGGGGTGGCTCGCGTCACGGGGTCACTAGGGTCACGGGGTCACTAACATCACGGGGTCACTAGGGTCACGGGGTCACTAGGGTCACGGGGTCACTAACATCACGGGGTCGCTCGCGTCACGGGGTCACTAGGGTCACGGGGTCACTAACATCACGGGGTCGCTCGTGTCACGGGGTCACTAGGGTCACGGGGTCACTAACATCACGGGGTCGCTCGCGTCACGGAGTCACTAGGGTCACGGGGTCACTAACATCACGGGGTCGCTCGTGTCACGGGGTCACTAGGGTCACGGGGTCACTAACATCACGGGGTCGCTGGAGTCGTGGGGTCGCTGACGTCGTGGGGTCGTTTGTGTGATTGGGTTACAAGTATCACACAGTTCCATGATTTAACTCGTGTGGTGATGTCATTGGCTCACAAGTATCACGCAGTTCCATGATTTAACTCGTGTGGTGATGTCAAAGCGCACGTGACTATAGCCCTGTGCTGTGGCCACTCTGCGCCAATCAGGTGGTGATGTGACTGCATTGGGCACGGGGGGCGCCGCGTGACGAGCGCCCTTCTGGGATACGCACCTATCGCGTTCAGACGCTTGAGTCCGTAAAAGATCTCCCTGGGCACCTTGGAAATGCGGTTCTCGTAGAGGCGCAGCTCGGTGAGGTGTTTGGGCAAGTTGGGCGGAACCTCCTCGAGTTGGTTCTTTGACAGATACAGGCGGTCGAGGCTCACCAGGGGCACAAACGCCTTCGGGTGGATCTTGGAGATCTTGTTGTTCGCCAGGATGAGAACCTGCGTGGTGCGAGGGACGAAGGCTCGGAGTCCAACAACAGAGCGACCCTCCCTGAGCGCGCCACGCGATTCCTGCGTCGCCTTCACAATGGCGCTGACGTCACGCTAGGGACAAAGATCCCACCTCCCCGTGTAGCCTTAGCAGACTGTTGGGGAAAGTGCCGTGAGTAGCGAGTAGCACCGAATGAAGGCCGGCACAGTGCACGAGGGGGTGGGTGGCCAGCACCACGCGCGACCGCCTTTGTCTCCCCAGTGGCGATGTTTACTACACACCGCACAAGGTGCTCGTTTGAGGCTGAGTCGACGTAGGGGAGGCCCAGGCCCAAGACCGGTTCAGATATTCGTCACTGGTTTTGGGACTCGAACCCGGGTGTCGCCGGGGTTTGCGGCACAGCGCGCTAACCGCTGCGCCACCGCTCCCCACTCGAGGGCACGCATTGCGCGTCAATTGAACATTCATGCAAAGCTCGAAGGCAGTCGACACATCGCACATGAAACGCAGCCTAGAAGTTGCTGTCGCCCTTCTCTCGCGTCTACAAAGTTAATGTAAAAGTTCCTTTGATGAATGCAACTCGTCCGTGCTCAAAGCCGACACTAACTCCGTCGGGAACACTTCGATCTGCCGCTTTATCACATTTTAATTGGTTCTCTCATGACCGCCTACTTTTAGAATGCTCTGCAACTTCACGCCTGTAAATAATCATCATCATTGTAACACAGTAGTGTAAAATGTATTTGTCCAGGATTAACCCTTGAGATTCACCAGTTCCACATAAAGTGCGGATTAATATCATCAAATAATAACGGTTTGTGGGTTAGATCGCGTAAATATACACAAATCTGGCTGTCGCCTGATGAAGCTAGGTGTAATTACTGGCGAAACGTCGTACTCAGATTGTAAATGTTGTGGCTTTGCTCTCCAACACACCGGTGTGCTGTACTAGTGACGAATTGGCACGTTCTGTTCACGTAACAACCCTTACTAAGTTGGCTGTGTCGGGTGGTGGCGGGTTTAACAACACATTTATACATTTACGCGATCTAACCCAAAAAAACCTCTATTATGGATGACATTGGTCGCAAAAGCCTACGCGTTAAACCGGATTAATATAGCAGTGCAAATACAACGCATTAACACAGACTCTAAAAATGAAACATAAAAAATGTGGTGCACGATTTTGTTAAAATAAATGATTAATTTGTAAGAAATAAAGAGTTAGCGGAGAGAGGTCACGTGACAACATTTCTTGATACATTTTTTAAATGCACCTTTAAAGACACGAGTCAATCAGCCTGATACTGAGGTGGGATCAGAGCGCTTCCAGGCAGATGGGGCCGGGTGAGAGAAATCAGAGCTCTGTGGCCCGGGACAGACTCGACAGCGAGGTTTGAGTGAGAGCTAAAGTGTGAGCTGAGACCAGGGTGAAGGAATCAGCCGAGTCACTTTTTGAGTGCACACGTATGGAGGAGGACGTTTGCCACGGCCACCTTCGCGGATTAAAAAAAAACACATCGGTGGAATTTACGACCACTCCAAATGCATCCAGGGAATGGCGTTATCAATAAAATGCCGCAATGGTGTTCTCCGAATGGGCACTCGGGCACAGACCTCGCCACGCTACTGCAGTTTGGAACCAGGCCACCGATGACAGTGGAAGAGGAGCTGTGGGCAATATCCAAATTTGATCTACATCAGAAAATTTTCGTGGAAAAAATGTCATGTTATTTGTGCAAGCTGAGGAAAACCCCATTTTAAATTCACGAATAACAAACGGATTCTGCACTCTTTCATACAATTCTGAATGTGTCGTTTAAGATGTCCAGTGGTAGGAAGTCTAAAGTTGTACGCGTGCAAAGTAGACGAAAGCTTGCAAATTTCAGACCCTGTGGGTGTATAAGTTTTTCTCTCTCGGAAATTGATTAAATCTGACTGTAATTTACTTTCCAGCACAGTGATTGATGGATTTTAATGTCCACTCATATGACCCCAGCCTGACGCTATGTAAATCTGCATCATAATGATAATTGGAAGCGTTTAAACACTTCAACGCGTCTTTAGTTTCCACGCTCTCTCTCTCTGATGATGGTGGGGTAGGGCGCAAGTACATTATAATGCTAGGGTATGTCTTTTTCCAGGCCTGTGGCAAGTGTTGCCACAGGGCTGGAAAGTCAGGAGTCCACACGGTCGCCACAGCACCGTCACCTCACTCGCCCTGCTCGCCTGCTGGCTCGTACTGGTAAATCAGTTACAGCACAGCGTGGAGAAGACTACACAAATGTATAGCAGAGGGTCTTTTTGGGGGGTTAGATCACGTGAAGATAAATGTGTCGTTAAAGCCTCCACCACCCGACAGTTAAATTGTAAGGTTTGTCGTGTGAACAAAACGTGCCAACTCGTTAGTAGTTCAGCACTAACCGGTTGTGTGTTGGAGAGTGAACCCACTACAATATTTACTATTACAGTGTAGTGTATAGTGTAGTGTATAGTGTAGTGTATAGTGTAGTGTATAGTGTAGTGTAGTAGTGTAGTAGTGTATAGTTTAGTGTATAGTGTAGTGTATAGTGTAGTGTATAGTGTAGTGTATAGTGTAATGTATAGTGTAGTGTAGTAGTGTATAGTTTAGTGTATAGTGTAGTGTACAGTGTAGTGTATAGTGTAGTGTATAGTGTAGTGTATAGTGTAGTGTATAGTTTAGTGTATAGTGTAGTGTATAGTGTAGTGTATAGTGTATAGTATAGTGTAGTGTACAGTGTAGTGTACAGTGTAGTGTACAGTGTAGTGTATAGTGTAGTGTATAGTGTAGTGTATAGTGTAGTGTATAGTGTAGTGTATAGTTTAGTGTATAGTGTAGTGTATAGTGTAGTGTATAGTTTAGTGTATAGTGTAGTGTATAGTGTAGTGTATAGTGTAGTGTAGTAAACCCAGCACAATATTTACAATTCGAGTACTGTGACGTTTCGCCGATAAACAGAGCAAAATAAGGTGATGTCGTCACTTGTGAGCCAATCAGGTGCGAAGACCAGGTGAGTGTATTCATAAACATTACAATGGCTATCTATCGTTGGTTGGGTTATTCACAGTTAATGTCCACGCATGATGTACGTACATCATGCGTGGACATTATGTTTGTACATTCTGCCGTGTCCGGTATTGCAGCTCCGCTCCACGCTTCAAAAGGAGGACGGGCCTTCAACGACATTACGTTCGTGTAGAGCAGAGATCACCACTCCGCTGACTTGAACCAGCAAGATGCGGCCTTCTGGGATGGATCACGAGACCACGGGGCTAGAGAGAGCGGAGAGCGAGCGAGCGCGGGGAAGGCGAGGGGTCATAGGGGTCAGAAGGGGCCGCGGGTGACGACGCGTGACCGGGCCACGCCATTCGAGTCGGCACGGCTTTGTGTGCGGCCGGCGTCACTAGGCCAGGTTAGTACCTGGACGTGGACGCGACAAGCGTTCACGTCCAGGTTAGTACCTGGACGTGGACGCTACAAGCGTACATCACAGCGCTCTTCGTAGCCAAACAATTGTTGGTACGGAGAGATCTCACCGACAAGATGATTCTGAATTTACCACGGAGGAGGCTTTCTCGATCAACATTATCTATAATATTGGTCGTGAGAGCCTCCATTATGGACAAGGTGATTCTCCAACGGAAGTGATTTCATCTCTGGACGTTCGCGACAGCCGATCATGAGACCTTTTCATTCCTGCCAGGTGCACGCGCCCGGTTTCCCAGCTCTTCCGCGACGCGCGTGCTCTCCTCGTCTGATCGAAACGGTGTGGATGTTGAAATCACTGCTGCCGGAGGGGCGTCTGCCCAGGGGGAACTCCCCTCACCCGCAACCGTCTCGATATTGAGCCTCGATCCCAACCGCCCGCGATGAGCGTGCTCTCACGGCACCGCGCAAACTCAAACTCCATCGATCTCTAGAGGGCATGGCTCAGGCGTGGACGACGACCGTGGATCCAGGAACCGCAGGGCTGCGCCCGCCTACGTGCACGCGCAGACGTACGTGCAGCTTGGCCTGATTCTTGAAGGCGTCTTCTTTGATCTCGGTCAGCTTGTTGCCCTGCAGATCGAGCAGCGTGGTGTCCAGCGGAATGTTGCTGGGCACGTCGCGGAGTCCTGCGCTCGGGGAAGAGAGGGAAGTGGGTTGGGGAGGGGGGACAAGGGGGTCGTTAAGCGCGCCTCAGGCAGGGGGGGGGGCAGGGGGGGGCAGGGGGGGGGGCACGCGCTTCGGGGCGAATTCGGAATTGTGCCGCGTCCACGGGAAAAACCCCGCAAGGTGAGCGCCAGGTTCTGCGATGTTCTCATCGGCGCTCCAATGACACATCCGACCACTGTTGAGTCGTCACACAGCCAACGCGGTGGCATGTGTAGCGTGGCATATCGACAAGGCTCGATGATTGCAATTCGCTACTCTACGGGATGTCCGGCAAAAAAAAAAACACATGAGCAATCTACAGCACGTACTCAAGATTCTCTGGCGCGTGCCATGACGGTGTGCTGCAAGATCCGCCTGTGTCCGTGCAGTGCTCGCCGAGCTGCATTGGCGTACGGTTGCGGAATGAACACATTAATTATGAGGCCGCACTCATTACACGCAAAGCCCTTGCCACAAATGAACCACAACACCTTGCTGATCTCGTCAAGGAGCATGAACCATCGCGCGGACTCCGGTCATCCTCACAGCGGCTTCTGGCTGCTGGCCATCGAACAAAGGCGGGGGTCACCGCGTCATCGCGCGGTGCTTTCAGACGCGCTTCTGCAGCCGTCTGGAACGCTCTTTCCTTCCGATATTAGGAAAGCACTGGAGCTACGGCACTTTTAAGTCGAGACTAAAAACGAATATCTTTAGAGCTGCTTTTTGTGTTTAATTTGTTGTCCTTCCCCCGCACCTCCGATTAACGCGGTTGGCTACGTACGGTGCGAAGGAAGTTCAACGTACGTACATACAGCGTGGGACACGAATGCCGTGCCAGTCTCCCACCTCGTCACCTCGTCACCTCTTCTGGAAGCATCTCCCCGTAGTATTTTTGTTTTTAGTTTATTTATCCTCTTATTTTATCTCAGGAGAGGGTAGATGCATCCCGTGCATCCCATCCCTCCTAACATTCTCCAGGCGTGCCTCTTCAAGCCACATTGGACTCAACAATATGTCTGAAATAACAATGCCACGCAGCATGGGAGGCGGTTTTGCCAAAGCCAACTCTGGTAGTGTGGCAATTTTTGTGACCCTTTGTAAAGAGTCACCAACAGCTGTCGTCTCTAAGTCGGGCTGTCAAGAGCCCAGCCTTCCGTGTGACTCTGCGGGAGATTGCACAGGATATTACACAGGGCCTAGAACACCTCGCCGTTGGTAATGATAATAATAATAAAATATTAATGCCATTTATAATGCGCCAAATTTTGCAGACAAATCAAGCTCAGGGCTGCTCGAAAGCCCGGACCCAGACAGACAAAGGGGGCCTTCAGACGTTTCTTGAAAGTCGGAGCGCATTCGATGCTGCGGATGTGCCAAGGGCCATGGAGCGTTCCACACCGAGGGTGTCTGGAGATGGTAGCTTCAGGGCTCTCACCGAGGTCGGAGCACTGCACAACTTTGTGGTTGCACTGGCAGCCGAAGGGACACGAGTGCGCGGCGCGGGGGGGCGGACGCGGAGTCGGGAGTGGCCGAGCCGACCCGCTGGGCGCGACGGCGATGATTTCCCCCGAGCCCTCCACGTCCACCGCACCGCTGCCGCCGGCCATGAAGTCAAACATCTGGGACTGTCGGAATGGCACCGCAGCGGCGGCTGACGCCCAGCCGGAGGAGGAGGACGAGGAGGAGGACGAGGAGGAGGAGGCAACCAGCGCGCCGGCAAGAAGCAAGGCCACGAGCGGTGATGCCATCCTGAGCGGCAGCTTGAAAGTCACGCGGGGCTGGGAGGAGAGAGACACGTGGCGTACACAAAAGAGCGACGAGTTGAACGTTGGTTGTCAGATGTAAATGTATCCTCAGTAAATACTCCCCCCGGTTTATGTCAGGGGGGAGAGGGGGGTTGCGTTCCTGAAAATGTGCGACGACGAATATGGAAACGGCGTCCAGCACAAGCGGGTGGAGGCGAAGGCTTGAGAAGCGACGGATAACGAGTGACGATGCTGTCAGCGACGTAAGTGTGGGTTGCAGGCGACGCAGATCGGCCAGCGGTGTGAATAATAATAATAGTAACAACGTGCCGACGTTTTGTGCGAAACGGCGTAACAGGCAGAGACGTAAAGCAGGGTGTGTTTGAACAGTAAATGGTGCACCAGGCGCAGCCCTGCAATAGCTCGCGCGTACCACTGCTGGCGGAAGGGTCTCTACTCGAGGGAGCTCGAGAGAGAGAGAGAGTGGGAGCGGGGAGTGTATTTTTGTCTACTCTTCCACGTGGGTCAAATGTCCCCACCATACGCGACCTGCCTGCCCACCGACCCACCGGCTGTGGTGAACTCGTTGCTACCGCCGGGGCGACAGAGGCAGTGGCGGGGAGATTTAAGAAACTTTCACCCTCGTTTCTGTCCAGTGCGCTGACCATTCCACCGCAGTTGCAGTGCAGTGACGGAAACACCTGGAACACTTTGCTAGAAACGTCACCGATTACAGGTACTGTATACACTTTTAGGTTCATGGCCGCGGTGTTATTGATGAACGTGCTGAGTCGGTTTTCGTTATTCGTGCTGTGCACCGCTACCGACAACGGTATCGCTGTATAATTTGGTTAATCAACAACAACAAAAACACTGCACTGTTTTAATTACATTCAAGACGTGCTTTGTATAATCAGGTGAGGACAACGCTCGCCTTTGCGACGGTGGCGTGACCCATTTGTCGCTTTCGCAGAAGGTGGCGGTGATCGCGTCTGACACTTGGGGCCCCGTTTGCATCCCCCTCTAACTACGCGAGCTTGGTTTCATCTCTTGGATCGCTTGCCCAATATACCCCCCCGCCCCCTCCCAGTCTCTATTATAATTGCCGCGGTTGAAGAGCCTTTGCCCTGACTCATTTCATCGGAGATCAAGGGTACCCAAGGGCTCTTGTCTCCCCCCGCACGCTGTGGTCTCTTGTTTGAGAATGATGACAGCCTTTCCCTAACGAAATTCGACGCCATTGTGGTACCCGCGTTCAAAACTCAAAGTTGGGAGCTCCCACAAAGCCGCAATATCCAGAATGGATTCTGGTGCCTTTCTCTCATCTGACCTTCACCCCCCCTCCCTCCCCCATCTTTCAACGCCTGCCATGATAATCCGGTCACCCTTAATTCTGCCAACACGGGCATTTTCATCGTTGTCTCCATTAAAGCCGCTACGAGAAGTACTTTTAATCCCTCTCCAATCCGCTCCACTCACCAATGACCGTAGCGTCATTATTCTTGGCACATCTTTCCGAATCATCTTGGAAGCCACACATCGTCTCCATCGCCTCTCGGAAACCAATCCAAGAAACGTTTCCCTTTGTAATGCAAAAATCTCAGCTGCATACCAGAAATGTCTGACACGCTTCACATTGCACAGGGACGACCCAGAATAAATTGCGGTGCGTGATGGAGTCAAAGAACGATATCCCGGCCCTCTAATCGATCTCATAGTCGCTTCTCCCGGCATGCACTTGGTCTGTGCTGCTCCTGAAACGCAACGTGCGCCCTGTTTGTCCACCCAAGGGATGCCCTCGCCTGTCGCCACGTCGCAAGGTGCGTTGCCTTTTCAGGCCGTCTCGTTGCGCAAAGTTAGCCTCTTTAGAAAACGTCCCAACGAGAAGTAATTTTATTCACGAGTTACCCCTCCCTCTCTTCTACTTCCAAGCCGGAATGCAACTTGCAGTTGTTTAAGTTTCCAATCAGTCACTGCTTTCTAGTCACCTGTCGCTGACGGTGATCTCCGTTTCTCTTTTAAAACAAGAAAAAATACTCTCCGTTGTTGTTCTTACATTCCAAATGTATTTTGAGCACCCCACGTCTTGATTCGTAATTGATTTGTGGCCAAATTTCCGTCACAACACTCTCCATCACCCGAACGTAGCCAAACACAGCCAAGGAATAATGAAATACATTTGGATTTAAAGCTTTCGTGACTGCAGGGATTCATATTATTGGTTCTTTCGGTAAAGTCACGTAGAAGGGAAACAATAAAGTAATAAAAATATTAAACAATAAAATTCTCACGACGTTTCGACTGCAACACAAGCAATCATCATCAGGTGTGAAAACCACAGCAAGAAAATTTTAGTCACGCGGCGCGCGAGCGTTTAACCACGCACCGATGTATTCCCATTATTATTATTGTTGTTGTTTCAAGTCCATCCTCACAAAAGCATTTTACCGCCGCAATTCTAAACAGAGCACCCGTGCAATCACGCGAATTACAAGCAGAGGAAATGAGCGTTGAAGCATCACCTTCTGGACTGGAGAGCTGTTGGTGTTTCGAGATGAGGTCAGGCAGGCGCCGCTGTGTGTATGGCCCCGTATTGCATCGAGCAGGTGGAGGTATGGTGGGCTCGCTAGCGAGGAGGTATGGTGGGCTAGCGAGATGGCTAGGGAGTGTTCCTAGACCGCAGGAGGCGCGTGATGCAACGCCCACCACCACCACCATCATCCTCCTGCTCACCCTCCCATCCTGTCCGTGTCCCAACCCCGGGCGCGCAGTACCCCTGACAGAGGGAGCGTAACCCCCCCCCCCAACCCCTACTCGCGGTGGAATTCCTCCGCTGTGCTTCAACGCGCTGCCTCCAGGCGCGTCATCAACACCGCCAATGTGGGGGAGGTGGCGGGGGGGGGGCAATCTGCGGCTCGGGAGCCGCGCGCGGTGCCTGTTTAAGGACTGCAGTGCGCGGCTCTTGAAAGGTGAAGTAATAAAAAACTGTCTCTTCTTGTTATTACTTTGGTTGCCGACCCCTCACCATGGGAGACAGTTCACTATGGGATTCTAGTTCACCTTGGAAGTCCAGTTCATCATGGGATTCTAGTTCACCTTGGAAGTCCAGTTCATCATGGAAGTCCAGTTCACTATGGGATTCTAGTTCACCATGGAAGTCCAGTTCATCATGGGAGTCCAGTTCACTATGGGATTCTAGTTCACCTTGGAAGTCCAGTTCACCATGGGAGTCCAGTTCACTATGGGATTCTAGTTCACCATGGAAGTCCAGTTCATCATGGGAGTCCAGTTCACTATGGGATTCTAGTTCACCATGGAAGTCCAGTTCACCGTGGAAGTCCAGTTCACCGTGGAAGTCCAGTTCACCATGGGAGTCCAGTTGACTATGGGATTCTAGTTCACCTTGGAAGTCCAGTTCACTATGGGATTCTAGTTCACCTTGGAAGTCCAGTTCACCATGGAAGTCCAGTTCACCATGGGAGTCCAGTTAACCATGGAAGTCCAGTTCACCGTGGAAGTCCAGTTCACCATGGAAGTCCAGTTCACCATGGAAGTCCAGTTCACCGTGGAAGTCCAGTTCACCATGGAAGTCCAGTTCACCGTGGAAGTCCAGTTCACCATGGCAGTCCAGTTCACTATGGGATTATAGTTCACCTTGGAAGTCCAGTTCACTATGGGATTCTAGTTCACCTTGGAAGTCCAGTTCACCATGGAAGTCCAGTTCACTATGGGATTCTAGTTCACCATGTAAGTCCAGTTCATCATGGGAGTCCAGTTCACTATGGGATTCTAGTTCACCTTGGAAGTCCAGTTCACCATGGGAGTCCAGTTCACTATGGGATTCTAGTTCACCATGGAAGTCCAGTTCATCATGGGAGTCCAGTTCACCGTGGAAGTCCAGTTCACCATGGGAGTCCAGTTGACTATGGGATTCTAGTTCACCTTGGAAGTCCAGTTCACTATGGGATTCTAGTTCACCGTGGAAGTCCAGTTCACCATGGAAGACCAGTTCACCATGGGAGTCCAGTTCACCATGGAAGTCCAGTTCCCCGTGGAAGTCCAGTTCACCATGGAAGTCCAGTTCACCATGGAAGTCCAGTTCACCGTGGAAGTCCAGTTCACCATGGAAGTCCAGTTCACCGTGGAAGTCCAGTTCACCATGGCAGTCCAGTTCACTATGGGATTATAGTTCACCTTGGAAGTCCAGTTCACTATGGGATTCTAGTTCACCTTGGAAGTCCAGTTCACCATGGAAGTCCAGTTCACCATGGGAGTCCAGTTCACCATGGAAGTCCAGTTCACCATGGAAGTTCAGTTCACCGTGGAAGTCCAGTTCACTATGGGATTCTAGTTCACTATGGGATTATAGTTCACCTTGGAAGTCCAGTTCATCATGGAAGTTCAGTTCACCATGGAAGTCCAGTTCACCTTGGAAGTCCAGTTCACTGTGGAAGTCCAGTTTACCATGGGAGTCCAGTTCACTATGGGATTCTAGTTCACCTTGGAAGTCCAGTTCACCATGGAAGTCCAGTTCACCATGGGAGTCCAGTTCATTATGGGATCATAGTTCACCTTGGAAGTCCAGTTCACTATGGGATTCTAGTTCACCTTGGAAGTCCAGTTCACCATGGAAGTCCAGTTCACCATGGGAGTCCAGTTCACCATGGAAGTCCAGTTCACCATGGAAGTCCAGTTCATCATGGAAGTTCAGTTCACCGTGGAAGTCCAGTTCACTATGGGATTCTAGTTCACTATGGGATTATAGTTCACCTTGGAAGTCCAGTTCATCATGGAAGTCCAGTTCACCACGGGAGTCCAGTTCACCACGGAAGTCCAGTTCACCGTGGAAGTTCAGTTCACCGTGGAAGTCCAGTTCACCGTGGAAGTCCAGTTCACCACGGAAGTCCAGTTCACCATGGAAGTCCAGTTCACCGTGGAAGTCCAGTTCACCATGGATGTCCAGTTCACCATAGAAGTCCAGTTCACCGTGGAAGTCCAGTTCACCATGGATGTCCAGTTCACCATGGAAGTCCAGTTTATCATGGAAAAGTCCAGTTCACCATGGAAGTCCAGTTCACCGTGGAAGTCCAGTTCACCACAGGAGTCCAGTTCACCGTCGAAGTCCAGTTCACCATGGAAGTCTAGTTCACCGTGGAAGTCCAGTTCACCATGGAAGTCCAGTTCACTACGGGAGTCCAGTTCACTATGGAAGTCTAGTTCACCGTGGAAGTCCAGTTCACCGTGGAAGTACAGTTCACCATGGAAGTCAGGTTCACCGTGGAAGTCCAGTTCACCATGGAAGTCCAGTTCACCATGGATGTCCAGTTCACCATGGAAGTCCAGTTCACCGTGGAAGTCCAGTTCACCATGGATGTCCAGTTCACCATGGAAGTCCAGTTTATCATGGAAAAGTCCAGTTCACCGTGGAAGTCCAGTTCACCGTGGAAGTCCAGTTCACCACAGGAGTCCAGTTCACCGTCGAAGTCCAGTTCACCATGGAAGTCTAGTTCACCGTGGAAGTCCAGTTCACCATGGAAGTCCAGTTCACCACGGGAGTCCAGTTCACTATGGAAGTCTAGTTCACCGTGGAAGTCCAGTTCACCGTGGAAGTACAGTTCACCATGGAAGTCAGGTTCACCGTGGAAGTCCAGTTCACCATGGAAGTCCAGTTCACCATGGAAGTCCAGTTCACCGTGGAAGTCCAGTTCACCGTGGAAGTCCAGTTCACCATGGAAGTCCAGTTCACCGTGTAAGTCCAGTTCACCGTGGAAGTCCAGTTCACCATGGGATTCTAGTTCACCATAGAAGTCCAGTTTACCATGGACAGGGGTAGGCAAACCTGCGGCTTCCGAGCCACGTGCGTCTCATTAAGGGCCGCTTCGTGACGTCTTTTATTGAGGACCACCACCGTCTCGCACTCACAACCACAGTGGCATCGAGGCTCGTGAAATATCGAGGGTTTTTTTTCTTCCGAATTCTAAAAAAAAGTCTCCTTGTTGTTTTGGTTGAACAATGTTCACAAATCTACACGAATCCCATTTCATCTTAACTCATTTAGAAGTTAACCCAAAATCGAGGAAGTTATTTTTTTTATTCCATGTTTGCCCATAATAGAGTTTTTTTGGGGTTAGATCGCGTTAATATATAAATGCGTCATTGTGGCTTGGCTCTCCAACACACCGGTGTGCTGTACTCGTGACGAATTGTCCACGTTCTGTTTACGTGACAAACCTTACTGATTGGCTGTGTCGGGTGGTGGCGAGTTTTAACGACAAATTAATGCGATCTATCCCAAAAAAAACCTCTATTATGGATGATATTGTTCGCGAAAGCCTACGTGTTAAACTGACCAATCCATATGTTGGCTTTGCGAATGGTTTACATGTGTTGAAGATTATAGTGTAGCTTTCAAAATAACCATCTAATCCTGTAAATAAAAAGAGTATTGTGTTGGAACTCAAGAAGGCCTTAATGGGTAAAGTATTGCTGTCAAGATTCCAATGTCCGGATCATTCTAGATGTACGTGTGTCTGTTGAACTTATTTCACACCATACGTAGCCACTCGTGCTAATCGGAGATCCGATCGACAGCGAATGAAAATATAGACGCAGCAAGGTTATAACAACCTCAGTGTTTAGAGCCAAGATTACCCACAACATGGCACCTGTAGACATCCACTAAACAATCCAGACAAACAAACACGTGTGACAGTGTGAACATATTCACGTGCACACCAGTGACGTGCGGTGAGGTCAGTGGCTGGGGAGGTACTGGCTGGTATCAGAGCCAGAGTCACACACTGAGGCCTCACTGAAGGGGCGTGTCCTCACTGAGGGGGGCGTGTCTGACACGCCCCCCTCAGTGAGGCAGATGTGATAGCTGCCTCCCCTGGTGCTTTTTCATTGCAGTTTCATGACGAGACCAGCGAGCCTAAATATCTTTATACACGTACGTGAAATAATTTACCTGGAGTATGGAAGGCGAGGACATGAAATTAAGGGGTCTACAAACATTACATTGGTGACGTACTGAGATAGTAACAGGCACGCGCTTATTGCCCACGCTCCATCCAGTTACTGAGGGGTTGCGCAATCAGTGGGGAGGCTGAACGTGTCACTGCCTCACTCCCTGTACTTTTAGTGGAGCTCCGCAAATTTGGCGATTTTGACTATAAAAATGATTGGAATCGTACAGAAATGACATTTATAACAGAGATCAGTGGAAAAATCTTAATTTTTAGTTAATTGTTATTTACTTTTCGTAACAGCTATTTTCATTGGAGTATGACAGGATGAGGCTCTGCCTCCCTGCCTCCCCTGACCGCACGTCCCTGATACACACATTCCCATGCAATAGCATCGCATGCATAGCATCGTTGACATGCAATGTAGCTAGCAGTGCTTTAGAAAGTAAGTATAGATACTGCTAAGCACGCTTTATGAGTGCATACCAAATTGTATCATTGTTTTTAGTCCGCAATGCAGTCTCTACGACTTGTCAGACACCTGCCCGATTGACAGCCAGGTTCCTATGGGTTGGCAATGGCTGTGGTTTGTCTGGCTGTATGAACCGATGGCCTAAGCGGGTCTCCCATCGCCCACCGTGGTGCAGTGATTGTCACGATCACCACAGAGGAGACGTTTTCCCATTCGACAGCTCCAATGGCATTGAGATCCAGGATTTCCCCCCCCCCCCCAAAGGATTACATTGTGATTATATATCGCACTGTAATGTTGACAATGAATACAGAGAGATATGCTATGGT